TTTGTTCTTCCATGTAGCCTTATCCATTTTCTCTTCTTGAGTCTGGATATTTCGTTTCTTTTGTACTGCGGTTACGTCTTTTTTTTAGTGTCTGTTTGCGCAATTCTATGTGTTTTATTTCTCAACTCAGGTCCTTTCTAAGTCCTGTCTGTGTTGTATATAATTCAATTCACACTCTATTCTTTTGCAATTGCACGTCCATACGCAGTCATTAGCGTTTTCCTGAAACAAAAATGGGCCTATTTAGTATGTATTATTTGGTCAACGTCAATCATATAATACAGCTTATATCAAAGGAGGGCAGACTTCAACACATATATGTGTGTATAACAGTTTCTACAACTCATAACAATAAACCCTCACTTAAAATCTATTGACAGTAAGATACTTCAGCAGTATTGCTGCTAATCCATTCCAAAAGCTCAGTGATGCGCGTGTAGACGCCTGGAACTTTCCGTTTGGCGCACTCCTCGCCGAAAGACGATCCCCACCAAGGTGAACCTCCCGTCTTCTTCCACGTCAGAGGGCCTCCGAGTCGCCAGAACAACTGTCCTTCCCGCCTTTCTTAAAACCTGCGCACAGCATGAAAGGTGTGATCAAAACACCGGCTATCTCCTTGCGCCCACACTCGACGATGGGTAAGTCGACTTCCCGAACGATGTCGGGGTACTTCTTGTCGCCATTGGTCGTGTCTCCCCAGCCGACGACTTTCCCGGTCTGTCCTTCGTAGACCTTCGTCGGGTCCGAAGGTAGGCACACGGGTCGGACCGGGTGCGACGTGAGGTCCAGGGCCTCCTCCAGACGCAGGAGGGCGATGTCCAGGTTGAAGTAGTTCTCTGTGTAGCCTTCATGGAAGACGTAGCTCTCCAGGGCCAGCATCCGCGTGACTCCTTCGACGTCGTCGTCCTCAGAAGCCACGTCGTGCTCGGCGACTTTCACTCGAAACTTGGATGCGGGGATGGGTTCGTTCTCCCGCGTAAACATACAGTGCGCGGCCGTGACGACGTAGCGGGTGTTGATGATGCTCCCGCCGCAGAAGGGCTCCTTCAGATTCTCAATCTCGTAGATGCGACGAGCCAGGGATATCTGAAGGGTGGGGACACCTCCGTCCCTCCGATGATGCGGTCGCCGTTGCTCACTCCGCAGCGACACTTGTCTGGGGAAGAAACGAGACTGTAGAGGATATTATTATGTATGTCTACACACAAGCAAACACACACACACGTATGTATGTATATCATACATATAAGTATATATATATATATATATATATATATATTATATATATTCAAATATATAACATACTTTCCCAGCACTGGTACAAATGCATTTTTCGTTATATCTCAGTTTCCAAATGAGCCCTCACTGGCCTTCCTGGAGTTATTATAAAAGAAAATAATATTTTTTCCTTTCGGGGGAGGGAGAGGGGTCTGCGCGAAATATTGTGAAGGCTGAGAAAAGAAAAAATAGTTTCGCAAGTGATTGTGTGAAACATAACTGTAACACTTTATATCTTTTCACTTGTTTCTAGCAATCTTTCAGGAAATGTTTTTGTTTCAGAAATAAATGAGAATTACGAAATTCAAAGAGGGAAAGTTTGGTCTTGAAAAAAGAAAGATTTTTCCTTTTTATTCTGTCGAGCCAGTTCGTTTCTCTTTTGGATTAATTATTAATCAGTCTTAAAAATGCCGCAGTGATTTTGTTTTTTCATATATATCCTCTACCTTTCTCTATGGCTCCCCTTCCTTTCTCTAGAAGGCACAGAGAAAGAGAGAGAGGAGAGAGAGAGAGAGAGAGAGAGAGATGGAGAAAAGAAAAAGACAAAGACACAGACTAGGGTTGGGGTGGGGGAGGGGGGGCTAGGGTGTCGACCTGTAGCACAGAACGAGGGCTTGCGGTCCTTCAACCCAGGGTGGCTCACGACTACGGACACTGAATACATGTGTGATAAATAGGTCGTGCGTGTGCGTGTGTGTGCAGGGAAACACATATGGAAAAGGACACACAAACAAACACGCATAACACTGCTAAGTTGGGCTTTTGCTTTAGTGGTTCCGTCTTTCACGGGACAACCGAAGATTTCGCAGGGCACCCAAGGAGAATTTCATTGCAGTTGAAGATATTTGCGAGTGATTTCCTCCTGCCCGTAGGATTGAAGCAAAGTCCGATGGCCGATTTAGACACTTTCACCACTATGACTGGGTCAAAAAGCCCAATTTCCTCCAGAGCAGCTGTCAT